TGGCTTGGCACTTCGTTTGTGGACACAAGCAGGGGCGCGTACTGGACGATCTGAAAAGAGGCCATCAGGTCACCTGAGCCACCTGACATGATTTTTTGAGTCAACCTGACCCATTCCAAGTCAACCACTGTTCTTGCTTCATCGGTTTTGTGGCATGTTATTGACGCCATACGGCTCATGGCGGATCAAGGATCTACGGACGGCTCATGGAGGCTGAGAGTGCACTGGAATTGTGCACTCACCTGTTGACCGTGTACCTGGTCCTCAGAGAGATCGTGCGGGTGAAGCACACCTGCAACCAGGTCGCACGGTTCATCGGGGGCATTGGCCTCGATCTGTTCCTGCAAGTTGCGCAGCGCAGCAACCCGTGGCTTGGCCAGACACGATTCTATTTTAAGCAGGGAGTGTTCCGAGCACGCAGGCTCACCCTGATAATAGCTGGAACCATTGGATACAAGATTCGGCTGGCAACAAATATCAACATATTCGATTGGAATGAATAGAGCTGACAAAGAGCCCCCAATTTCAAATCCCTTTCACCTTCCTTTGTGGAAATAGGGGGCGTGTGAAAGACTCCCGATGCCATATGCTCAGTTGGCGCCTCACCGCGCCGTCGGCGTAGAGCTGAGGTGGGGGGTGGGGCGCCTCAATCTGGAAGGCGCTCTACGGAAGACGCACTGCCACAATATTCGCTTGATCCACGACAGCTCCTTCGTACTCCTCCAGCGATGCGCAAAACGATGGATGGAAATGAATTTCAGCGATGTTCAGATCGTCCAGTACGCGCCCTGGCTTCACAGTTGGGGGGCCACCCATCCAGGGGTGCCCACAACCCTGTTCAAATGCATTGTTTTTTCAACGTCCCTACATTGGCCTATTCGCAGGGTTTAGAGGACTTCTTGCTTCTCAATCTTGACCGGCTTGGCAACTCGAGTTGCCACCTTTCTGAGGTGAGTTTGGCCAGCCTTGGTAACAAGAGCATTTTGCATGCTCTGGCTCGGGGAGCTACTCCGATCAGAGCTGGAGAGTCGGCTCCAGTTGCCTGGTACCGGCTGCTGAAGTTCGGGGGGCTGGGAGCGCATGTTCTCAATTTAACGCTCTCTCCCAATGTTGCTATCTCAGGTAAGTTTGGTCTTAGCCAGGGAATACAATGCAACTCAATGAACAAATTAAGGTTTTTATGAATGAAGGATTCATTGGCTACAAGCCGCCGGACTTTGTAGCGATTGGTGGCTCAAAACTTGACAACACGTGTGTGAACTGTTGAAGTGCTGCTGGCGCCATGTTGTTGCAAACGGCAGTGAAGCTCGCAAAGGCTTGGGTGAAGGAGAGGAGGGAGTCCAAGCAGGACTCATCTGAGCCCCAGTACTCGTGCGTGGAAGTCTTCAGCGGAGTGCAGGAGATAGCGCGGGGTGATGGGTTTGGATTTGAGTTTCGGAAAGATGAGCGGATGAATCTGCGCACAGAGCAGGGAAGGAGTCTCGGTTAGTATAGTATGGACTCTAATTGTTTTTGCTTGTTCCTAACCTTTTCTTAAGGAAAGCAACAAATAATATCATCTATTCACAGGCTAACTCAATCCAACTGATGGTCTGGGCGTAGCATCAGTTCTTTAGGCGGCTGCTTCTGGAAGCTATAGCCAACACGAAGCCTGGCTCTTTCGTGTGGATGGCCCCTACATGCAGCAGCTGGCTTGGGTTTGTCTCTAAACACACGACAAAGCGCTCCAAGGACACGAAACAAAAGCGAAACACACTAAACACCTGCTGTGTGAATTTGGGTGATGATGTGGACAATACCAACAGTTTTCACAATGATTGTCGGGTATTGTAGGGCTTTGCTATCCTGGATGCGTGTGTTCAAGTTTGGCGGGCAGTATGTTTGGTATGGTGATTGCACCACTTGTGGGAGAGTGCAGTCAGTTGAGAGTATGCGCAAGCAGTCCCCCAAATTGCATGGTGCAGCTGTGGCCTGCCAAAGCTTTCTGTTGGGTGTCATTTACGTTCGGTCGAGATCGACTTGACTAGTTGAAAAGACATGGACATGTGGGGAGAAGCTCAATCGATTCAGTGGGTCCTGGAAATGTTCGTTGTACTGTTTGGTTCACATCAGACTGCTAAGTCTTTGCATGATCAAGGGGTCAAGATCTCAAACCTGCATCTAAAATTACATGATCTAGAACCTAACTGGTGTTGTGTGTTGATGGCAAGTCGACTAGGAGAGCAACTACGAGGGCGACATGAACCTGAAGTTCGTTTGTACTGGGTCAAGCACTGCCGAGATCATTGATGAGTACTTGGTTCCTCTGATCGAGGAGATGGGCTTCACATGGGCCATTGAGAACCCAGTGATGTGGCGCAATAATTGGTTCTGTTTCTGCACGCGATATTTCTTGAACTTTTCTACTAATTTATGTGTCCTGACCTGGATATGTCTGGCATTCCTTTTGGCTTTGTAAACACATACAAGACCATTTCAATTTCCCACGGCGCACAAGTATTGTTCTGTTTCCTGCTGTAACCTCGAGTATCCTAGTTTTGTTATTAAGTTAAAAATGTATGCTTTGTGGACAGGCATTGCATCTTTGTTTCGGGAAACATTCGCTGCTTTCATGCCAGATGAATTTGATGATCTTTCGCAAGCTGGTGTGCTGCCAATCGAAGACTCGAGTGGTTGTTCACATGCGGACATTCGGTGGTGAATCCAGTAAGCCTCTTGAACTTGTTGGCACATGGCGTGGTCTCAAACTGTTGAAGCGCATCGAACAGCTTCTCAGTGTGTCCAAGAGGTTTGTGTTTGTTTAACCTTGTTCTTTTCATTTTTGGTTCGCAGTTTAAACTCTCTTGCAAAGACGCACTGGCCGAGATGTGACCAAAACACCTGTCAGGTATGCTTGGGACTGGCGTGCACAACGGCTTGATTGACCCGTTGGAGAACCTCTTTTTGTTGACCACGCAGGACACCAAACTCATCAACAAGGAGCGTCGATTTGCGCCCCGGCAGTATACTTGGGGTTCAAGGTTTTGGGCAGGGTTTTTGGCAGATTGAGTTGGCCGTCGCTTTCGAATTATTTTCACTGGCATGTCGTTTTCATATCAGGAGCCGCAAGACAGAGGAAGATCTGGCGATGTGCACAGTGGCGACCAGTGTGCGAGATTCAGCTCTCAAGGGTTTGTGCTCGGTGGCTACAGACGTGCAGGATGTGGAGAGTGAGGGTGAGGTGGAAGAGGGGTGTGAGGCAGCATCGGTCCCACCTTCTGGTGACAAAGTTGGTGTCCCACTTTTCATGGCCGAAGCTCCTGAGACTCATGCTCGTGAGCGGCTGAACCTGTTTGGCTCCATGCATGACCATCAGCTGGCGCACGTGTTGGATTTCTTGCCGGGATCAGGTGTGCTAGCCCTGGCTGCTTGTCGGCATCAACATCGCTACACGGGCATCGCCATCGCCGAGTTGCACAAATCCGTGCTGCGGGAACGCCTGGCCCTTTCCATTGTGACGGAATTAATTGGCTCTGAATCGCCAGGATGGCTTCAAGTCGACCCGGTTCTTATCTCAAGAACGATCCATGGGAGCCGGCACGGCCGAGGCTGCTGCTGCTGTTCAAGAACAGAGTGCTGCTGCGCAAGAACAGAGTGCTGCTGTTGCTGTGCCAGAGACCCCGCAGCCGGAGGCAGCGGAGGGAGAAGGTCAGGAGAGCTCGAGCAGTTCCGGTTGAACAGTGGTGGCCTGCCCCATGTCTCATGGCATGTGTTTTCCAGTAGCCTGATATGATACAGGCGCATCTTCCACAGAGGCTGAGACCGTGCGTGAAAAGTCAACATCAATCGCATTTGCAGTGGCAGAGTGTAGAGGCACTTGCATCTATTGTCATTTTCGCCGAGGTTTGACAGGGCGATGGCCTGAGTGCACGAACACTGCATTGTTTCCACACCAGCCTAAAGCTTAAGACCTTTAGACCTTAACCTGTAGACCTTTCCCTAAGATTTTGTGTGCTGCAAAGCTTCGCATTTGAGGTGCATTTCCATCAGCTGAGGCATCTTTCCAGGGTGAGCTGTGGGGTTCACGCCAGAGCAGAAAGGGGCCCGTTGCACAGTAAGCTATAAGCCAGAGGACACCGGCAGGCTGGGGCAAAACCACCAGAAAGTAGCTGAAGCGCGTGGTGTTCTGTTCTAGTCCATCTTCAACTGCTAGGCCGTTCAATCTTTCGATGTCTTTCCTTTTTGTTTGAATGCTGATCTTCCTTTGCGAGCCAAAGTGAATCGACCTCATTTTCCCGGAAACTGCAGGAGCGCCGTTGTGGGTGGACACGGAGTCCATTGTGGCTGGCGGCAAAGCGGAGAGCACGCCGACCTTTCACAAGGTCGAGTCAGATTGCTGTGGGCGGGTGGAGATGTGTGTATAGGTTGAGTAATAGGCCCTTGTTTGCTTTTGTGTTTAGTCATCAGACGTCAAGGGCGCAGTCAGCCCCTTCAGCCCATGTACATCTATACTCCCATCCACATCGGCTTTAAATCTTGAGAAGACAGCATTTGCCCCCTAGTGCCTCGACCGATGACTCCATCTTTGGGGGGGGCAGGGACGAGTATTTTTTGTTTTTCCAGTATATCCCTGACGATTTTTGTGGGGCGTCAATTAATAGACTTTTCAAGGTTGTCGTCGTTTAGTCTATCAATTCGATTGCCGGCACTCGGGGCTTTCGAAAGCCGTGCAGGTCTTCGGTTCCCTGTGTTTTTTAACCAACATGTGGCAGAAATGGAAGGCCAGACTTGGGCAGCCTCAGTAGGTGGACGAGGCTTTCAACTAATGCCTGGACCATTTTTGGGGGGGAGTTGAATCAATAGACTTTTCAGGTGTTTCTTCGTTTAGTCCATAACTCGATGGCCGGCCCTCGTAGTAGTTTGCTGGTGGTTTTGGTGTTGTGTCCGGGGGGCTATGACTGGAGGTTGCCCGATCCCCCAGATGCCCGACGGAGCTTTGAAGGCGCCCGCATTCCACCCAGGTGTGCGAGGTGGATCCACGGGCTGCGCGCTGCTGGGCGGCGCAGCTGCCGAAGGATGCGGTGGCTGGGGCACGCTTCGCGGTGTGGTGCGGGGCGGCGGGACCCGTGCGGGATGTGAAGCCTCCCGTTGACCACGGCTTTCCGAACTTGGAGGATTGTGGGAAGAATCTGTTGGCCCCACTCCCACAAGCAATTGTTGATAAGGAAACCCGTGTCAAGCTTGCTTCCGCCAAGTTCACGAAAGCCAATCGTAAGGGAAGGCCGAAGGCTAAGAAGCCGAAGTTCTGCCCGAACTGTTCGCGCCAGAGCTGCAAGGATGCAAAGGCATCGAAGCCCTGAGCTTGTGCTGCGAGAGGGAGTTGTGTAAGTAAGAGAACACCGAAGCTCAATGCTGTGGATTCCCCCAGCTCAACGGACAGAAGTGTATGAGAGACGTCAGCAGCCGCAGCAGAGCTCCTGGTCCTGCAGATCGACCAGACCCAGATCGACTCCGATCGTCGAGTGCTTTTTGAAAAGCAGCGTTCAGTGATGTGGGGGACGGGTTCAGTGATGTGGGGGACGGATGTGGGGTAGATTTGAGAGTGGGTCTCCTCCTGCACCCTCCACTCCCTCCACCACCTTCCTTCGACCATCACCGTCGCCGCCAGTCCTCACCATCCCCCCCAAAACAACAAAAAGGTTACCCTTTTCAAGCATTTCCCACTGGAAGACTTTGAATAAGGGTTTTCAAAAGGTTTTCAGGTCAGAGTTCCGTGAATCAAGCAAAACTCAGTAGTAGTAGTAGTAGTAGTAGTAGTAGTTGTTGTTGTTGTTGTGGTAGTGGTCCTGGTCCTGTTCCTGGTCATTGTCGTCGTGGTGGTGGCGGTGGTGTTAGTAGTAGTAGCAGTAGTGGTGGTAGTAGTAGTAGTACTCGTGGTGGTGGTGGTAGTGGTCGTTGTCGTGGTGGTGGTCGTAGTAGTAGTAGTAGTAGTAGTAGTAGCAGCAGCAGCAGCAGCAGTACTAGAGTATTAGTGGTGGTAGTAGTAGTAGGCGTGACAAACCAAGAATTCTTAAAAAAAATTTGGCAAATGTTACATATTTTTCCGTCCCATTTTTTCTATTCAGGGTGTTTGGTTGAATGCTCGATTGTTTTTCTTATTCCGTCCCATTACGCTAATTTGGATGCGACATTATCAGACAAGCAGACTGGACATTGGAAAGAAGGCCTTGCTTAGCTTTGGGTTGTTCTAAAACGTGTGCGTGGCTGAAATTCAGATAGCCTCCTGGCCGCCCTGTATTGTTAGTGTCCTCACGCTTTTCTATAGAGAGCGATGGGGCATGTCAAAAACGATGCTAAAGAAGGATACCATGACATTTGTATCATCGTGTTTACTCTCACGGACAACAACGCAAGTGTATTTGTCTATCAATATGGAAGTATGTGGCATGTATTGTTTGCTCTGAAATGGATGGACAGACGGAAACTCGTAGAACCTGAGCCGCTCGATGCTTTCTGAGAAGTGCCTTTACCTATCAACCTCGCGTCGGCTGGCAATGGTGTGTGAGGTCTTGATAAGGTTGGATTTTGGCCTGCTTGACATTAACCTCATCTTGCAAACAGGCTTTGGTGCAGGAGAAGGCGAGGGATATTTTGCGGCACGCCGTGGGGTGCTCATATGACTAGTGCATGTTGGCGACGTATCGACTTAACAAACTGTTCTTCAGAGGGTAGATGACGATAATAGTGCTGATAGTAAAAGAGGAGGATGGCGTGGATTTGTTGGCATCATACTTTCCTCAAACACCATCACCGGGGCAGCTAGTTATCATTCCAGCGAGCACAGAAGGCGGAAACTGCTGCAGTTGCTGCCTTGCTCACCTACCGGCCCTAGACAAATTTGTCCCACTTGTCACCAAGTTTTCTAGTGCTAAGGTCGAGGCCATTAGTTTAGTGGGTGATGCATTGCGCTGTCCACAAGAAAGGCGGATGGAGTGGCAAACTCAGAATTCTTTCAAACTAAACTATTTGACAATTTAGCACAGCGGCATTTGCGGAAATGCAACGGCGTGGCGTGACTGCGTATTTTCCTTGGATCAGGTGCGACCCTTTCCTGGCAGACACAACTGAGGCTGCCACACAAGCTCGCTGTTTGGACCATTTGTATGACGATGAGTAGAGGATCATGCATGTCAGAACTAGTTTCCAGAACTACCAGGACCTGGGGCCAACATCTCCCTTTAGTTTGTAGGTGTGTTCCAGATTGAACGATTTTGACACACAGTGGGTTGTAAAAAAAGAGAGGAAACAGAAGGCAAGGGCCCCTTCAATAAGGCCTTTACTGTAACCTTTTTTTGTGCTTTATAATATAGATCAATATGTATATATATATGGTTTATTTTTCGTTTCTATCCTGTTGAGAGGTATCACTGCCAGAGACACTCTTGGCAGCCCTCAGCGAGGACAGCCCTACACGGGAGGCAGAGCAGCAGGGCTGAATGGATCTCCAGACTAGGGGGATTGGCCGGATTGGCTTTGGTCCACAGGATGGACCCAGCAGGGAACGCATTTCTTATGGATGGCTGTTTTTGTCAGACCACTGAGACGGTTCTTAAGGATATTTCTGGGCCGTGTTTCTTGCTGACTGAAGCTGGACATTGTTTGAGAAGTATGACAGTGTACACACTGAGCACACGCACATACAATGAACAATGACCTCATATGTGTGATGAATATGAAGTTAGAAGCAGGCACCGTCAGACCGTCAGGCATTGACCAAACATCGCAATGAGCTACTGGAGGTTTGGCTTTGCTCGTTCTACTTCATTCAGATGTGTTTGTTTGTGTCATTGTGACGTGTCATGTTGTCGCGCTCAGTTTAGTTTCCCGATGCCTGGCAAGTATTGACTGTTTCGAAGAATGTGAATCTTGTGGTACACAACTGTACCATACCACGTCAGTTATAACACATTTGTATAGTTTGACCTGCCAATACTACTTACAGAGTAGCAGGTGCAACAAACGTGCTGTGCAACTTGTGCTGCCAGAGATGCCCCTGAGACGCTACTCTTTCAAAGCTGCACAGCGAGCCAAGTCCATAGACAACTCAGATGGACCCTTCAGGCACTAGGCGCAATATGGCGCAATAGGCGTAGTAGGTCCATACGGTTGAAGACCGGCTTGACAGGCTCACACGTGTTCATCGTTTTTCAATGCAAAGTTAGTACGTGTAAATCATTGTCTTGAGGAGATAGGAAAGGGGGCAGATGGCAGATAACAGACGTATGAAATATCCTAACAGCTTTTGACAAACTGGTTTGCATTTCCCTTCTTGATTTATTTGTTTTGCCTTGTGTTATTGTCGCCAAAGTTGCTTTGTCCGTCCCAGTCATTCAGCTCTTGTTGCACGTTTGTGGCTCCGACTAATCCCTATCTAGGCTATAATATAGTTGTATACATAGAATATGGATACATACATGTATGTTGCATTTATATTTTGTATTTGTATATATCTTATCGTGACCTGGAAATCTTCAATCTTTAGTTATGATCCTTGTCACTCTCAAGTGGCTTCTCTCTTGCTCTAGTGACTCTAGTGGCATGTTCATTGCAAGCGTAACTTTTTTCCAAGCCCTTGGTGTTCTCAACTAGCGTTCCTCTTGCTTCAGTAGCTTTTGGGTCTTTGGTTCAGCTCTTGTGAAATGGCTATGTTCCTTTTTGATCAACGAATCCTCCTATTATTGAACACCTCAGGAGCTAAATGAGAAGGAGAAAAACTACGTGATAAAGTGCGAAACCAAGACAATGAAGGTGATTGGATAGTGAGGAGAAAGGGCACTCACCAGCATGAAATTCTGAAAGAGCTATATTAAAATGAAAGCTAATCAACTAATCAACGGCGGAAGGGCTGGTTAAAAGAGATTAGAGGGAGGAAGAGTGGGCGGGTGTAACTAATCAAATCAAGACAGAAGATAAGGAGGAAGATGTGTTGTTTGTTTGTTCTTTTTTGCAGCATTGATTTGTGTGTTTTAAAACGGGTTTGGAAAAAGAACCTCACGAATCGAGAGCATATAAGAGCATGGACCTACAAGTCCCAGCTGTTTGTTTACCAATCCAATTTTGGATAGAACTTGTCCGTCCGAAAAGTAAGAAACACATAAACGCGTTGCTGCTCAATATTTAATACGGGTCAATCTCATTCTAAAGTAGGCAGAGGATACGATTTGGCTTCCTGAAACTTAGGGAAAACCAACAAAGATAATAGAGAAACAGAACAGACTTATGTTGGACGCCAACCCGGCAGACGTTTTACTGTATTTTTGGGCAAGTGTGCCAATCATAATTTATAAAGCATTGAAAAGAAACTGATCAATGAATGTGTTTCTGTTTTTGTGCGCACTGGCGGTGGCCTGCTCTGTATGTGCTGGCTGTGAGGAAGTAGTAGGAGCAAGGGGGATAGGAAGCTAGCACAGCAATAGGAGTATATATAGTGAGATAAGTTGGTCAGTTGGCAGTAGCGTCCGTTCTACTCCACGGCGCATTTGCACGAAATCAAATCCCAGTCTCTCGGTGACTGATCGCTTTGGAACGCGCAGTGTGTTTCACTCTGTTTCTGCGTGTTTCCAGGGTTTCTAGCCGGCGGGGTATGTTGGTTGTTGGCAAAACATTCCTCCCTACCCCCCCACCCTGTTTGGTGCAGGTGGTGTGTACTTACACCAGATCAAATCGTTTCTTCAAACCGTGGCAAGGTGGTGAGAATAAGTTGTAAGAGTGCGGTTTCAATGACCTTTTGCTGAATTTGTTTTCTAACATGATCAATTTCATGTGTGCCAAAATGAGCCGGGTGCCAACATAAAGTGGCCTTTGTGAAGACACGGGTCACTTGCTTTGACGGCTGATCACAGTGCAGCGGATCCATGTTCTGCAAGATTGTGTTGCTTTGTTAGGAGAAGGATAGGAGGGCTTATTTTGGATACGCAAGTTGTATGTGCGAGAATGGTTGCAAGACCAGTCTTCAAGCAGGTTTGTGACTGCACGTCGCGTTTAGTGCATGTATTTCTGTTGGAGCTTGACAGGTAGTTCTACGTCAGTTCCCCAGTGATATTGGCAGAGCCTTGTACCTTTAGACTTAGACATTTTCCAGTCCCCATCTGTTGGCACTGGCTAACCCTTTGCTTGCGGAGCAGTAGCAGCGGGGTGCACATAGACATACTGCATGTGGTATATGTACGGCAACCCTCAGTCTCCAATACTGCAATTTTGTCGCAATATCAACGGCATTCCACCAAATCTGAACAATATGGTGGGCAAATCAGGTAATGCGCACCTAGGATTAAGTAACCACCCCCTATTAATCAATCCC